TTTTGCATGAAGCTTACTTAGATATTAATCTCCTCGAAGTTCACATACATAATTCAAGTGCGAAAATGGACTTAAAATGGAATGAAATTTAATTTTACTTTCCTCCCATCCCCACTCTCCCCGGTCGCCGCTCTGCTCCCACCCATTAATGAAACAATCAATTTAATATACTTACAATCCTTGTAAAACAAATATCAATTTATTTGATCGCCCAACGCAAAATGCTAATAAAATATTTGCTCAGCAGACAATTCGAATTTGAATTGCTTTTGGTCATAAAAATATTTGCTCATTTTAATGAGAAATTAGTTGCGAGTCGCCTTAATTACATCGAGCAACGTACGTATTGATATTTTATGATGAGATTAACGACGTAATTCCCAATCTAACGAGAATATCATGTTCGTCACACATGGCCCGTCGCCGTCGCCGTTGCCGTCCCTTCCACCGTCGCAGCCGTGCCCACTCATGCCACCCTGCAATGCTTCTGCCTTCTGCATACGGGGAGGCGAATATTGTATTAATTCTTGTTAACGAAATGTGTGTCGTAATTTCTTTTTAATGTCTCGCCTCTCATGCAAAGCAGAAGCAGAAGCAGCAGAGCCAGCCGAGAGGGACGAAGTGCGTAATCATCAAATTAAAACAGCAAAAGCGGCCATAAAAATATTGCAACACTATAATATTGCTTCAAGCCAAACCCCGTTCCCTTCGCTCCCTCCACTCTCTCTTGCTTGCAAACCGCGCTCGCATCCTCACAGTCCCCTTCCTGGTGCCCACCATGTCCACGTCATGGCCATGTCACATGCCGCCATATTTTGTGGCGTCAAAAAATCACAATCATTTCTCTCTTTGTTCGGGACGTGAGTCCTGCAAAACTGTCACTGTAACGGCCAGCCGCGGGATGCGAGGATGTGCGGAGCAGACGGTGTGTGTGCGAGTGAGTGTGCCATGATATGTACGAAATGGATTTAATGCGTAAATGTCGGCCAGCGAATGCAACAGCGAGACAGAGGGGAGTAGTGGTGTGGTAGAGGTGGGGTCGGGAAATATAGAAAAAATTAAATCGTAAAATTTTCATTAAGAAAATATGTTGCAGCAACAAGCACTGTTTGTGGCACAACAACAACAACGCCAGCAGCAGCAGCAGCAGCAGCAGCAATGGCGACAGTAACAATTTAATGCATCAAGTGGATTTACGAGCGCATAAACAATGTGTGCTCGCTTGTTCTGCGCCCCTCGCCTGCGGACTGCACACTTAGTCATGCTGTAATGATGCGCATACGAAAATAAATATATACGAAGCCTGTATGTATGTTCGCGGCCTCATCGCCCAGCAGTGCGTGAGACTAGTGGCGACGAAATGCCTTATTTAATTGCTCAAAACTTTCGCCGGATAATGCAAAGCCGGCTTGCAGAGTTCGAGCCAAAAATATTTTGAGCAGTGATGCCACCTGTTTGCGAAATTGTCTATTAAATTAGCAATCTCATACACCTGTTCTTGGTCCAGAACAATAAAATTGGATTTGCCTTAGGAATAATCGAAACAGAAATTACTGTTAATAATTTTTTCTTTTATTTCTGATTCATCTGAATTAAAAAAAGTAATGAAAGCATTTGATTCCCTAACTTCATGTCCATTTTTCCTTTCCAATCAATATTGTTCATGCGCCCCTTTTGGCTTTAGTTTCGCACCAGTTTCGGTGCAGTCCCAAAATTTATTATGCAAAAGCCAAAATCCACTTGGTCACTAACTGCATAATGTATATGTGTATGTGTAAGTGAGTATTTGTATGTTCGCCGATGACACTTTGCTGAAAATCATTGGACGCAGACGTGATTCTTTGAGGAGCCGGGCAGCGTTTACTCATAAACTCCATTTAGTTTCTATAAAAATATGAATTTAATGCGTCCTTAAGCTCCCCAACACCACTATTGTCGCCCATTTCTTTGTTTCGCTTATATGCAGAGACACGCGTGTGATGTTGTTGTTGCCTTGCTGTCACTTATCACTTTTGTTGTTGGTTGGTTTTATTGGCAGTGGAAAAGCGTCGTTAGATATAATTTTTTGGTCATTTAATTTATGTAAAAGCAAAGCAGATTTTATGGTTATTTTAGCACCACCGCAAATCATAAGCGCACACGCGCGCACACACGCAGACACGCACACACTCACGGACTGCAGTTAAGCGCCGAAATGACACTACAAAACACATTCACGCGCACATGCACATAGGCAAACGCAAGTCAAAAGCATTCCCACTCCCAAGGCAAACGTCTGCACTTCGCTCGCCGTCGTAAAGTACACGAATGCCGCTCGGTGCAACCCCAGCCTCCTCATTGCCCTCATTTCTAATTTCAGTCGTTCTCCTCCGCTACACCCGAGAGCGCAACTACCCTCAGGCGAGCAGCTGAAATAAATAGTGGCATGTGTGTGCAACATTCTGGCGTCTTAACGGTATTGTTATGAATTTTTATTGGATAATGCAAATTTTATTGTAATGAATTGGTTTATGTGTACTAAGAAAGCCAACCAAAGCCAAAAACTCCGACAAAGTCGTTCGCCTCTCATTATTTACGATCTTGCGATCGGCATTTGTGGAATGTACGGTACATAAGGCGACCTCCTCCGCTTAATGTGCTCACTTTGGGCGGCTGACCGTTTTATAGATAGATGTTGAAATGACTGAAAATATTCCAGCTTATTGAAGCATCGAGGACTTCGCTTGCATTTCTCTACACGCTCCGCTGCTCAGAGCACCACCCCACCCACATTTGGCATGGCATTCGATACTGTATGAGACCCCCTTCGTTGCTTCTTTTTTTATTTTATATGTGTGCGACGAATTCAGCTTTATTATAAAAATAAGAGTTTGCTATTAGAGAGGTTCAATTTTCGACGACTTTTCAGAGCAATCGAGTGGACGAATGCCAACAATAATTTTCCGAATATCCTGTTCTAAGGCGTCAATCGTCTCGGGTTTATCAGCGTGGGCCAGCGATTTCAGCTAACCCCACAGAAAATAGTCGAGTGGTTTTAAATCGTACTATCATGCCGACCGCACAACAGTCAAGCGAGATAATGCGCCGATCAAAACTTTCTTTTAATAAATTGTTTGTTTCGTTGGCAGTGTGGATTGAAGCGCCGTCATGTTGAAATCAAAGATTCTACACATCAGCATCTCCCTATTCGGACACTTGTTTTGTTATTTACGGCTCCATAGCGTTACTCATCGAGATCCCCGTTCAACCAAAATTGAACTTCATTACTAAACAAAATCTTCTTGTGGACAGTGGGAGCGGTGGTCATCTCGTTTTGGGCCCATTCATCGAACCTGCGACGATCTTGATGGTCGTTCGGCTTCAATTTTGACAAGAGTTCAATTTTGTTGGCCCGAAATCAAGAGTCTTCCTCAAAATTCTCCATAGAGTGGGTGGTCACAGCTCCAATTGGTGGGTGCCATGGTGAATACTCTGCTCCATCACGGCTATAGCGTATTCGGTGTGCACTGTACTGCGTCTTTGGGCGTGTGCGTCATCCATTAGAGTAAAGTAGTGAGAAACCGATCTATGTTTGCTCGAAACACGGACTCTACTGGACGATTTTTTTAAGCGAATATGAAACGCGGCAGACGATGTGTCACGTGAGCCAAAGCTCAGTACAAATCAAGTAACAGCTGTCAAAAGGACCAGCTCCGAAAAGAGTAATGCTACAATGAAAACCACGCGTGTTTCACGTGCAAAGAAATTTTATGCGAGTATTTTTTTTTTCAAAATATGGCGACCAAACCAAACCACCGCAACCAGATCGTTATAGCCAGATCCGGATTCGCAGAGGGCTCATGGTCACACCACTTTTGCTGTCGTTTGAGAAAGCGGACATGCTGCCTTTCCCTTATCCCGGTATTCTTCTTCTCTCCATTGATAAATATACCAACGCTCTAGTTTGTTCGTCTAGGTTGCTCGTCATGAAAATGGAAAAAACGAAATCAAGAGCAACGCGTCGCGATAAAATTTTACTCCCAATTGGGCAAAAGAAGTAAACCGTAAATCAAGTCTACTATCTCCAAGTACTCGAAAAATTGCGAAAACGAGTCAACAGGGTGTGTCCAGACATCGCTCCTTCATCACGGGAACGCGTCCTCAGCGTGCCCAAGTATTTGCCCTCTAAAGGGATCTCCGCGTTGCAACAATCACCTTACTCCCCCCTGTCACTGTGTGACTCTTTTTGTTCCCTAGAACAAAATCAATGTGCAAAGGAACCCAGTTTGAATCGATTGACGACATCCAGGCGAGGGTATACGCGGACATCCCAGTCGAAGAGTTCCAGAAATGTTATGAAGCATGGAAAACGCGCTGGAATCGTTGTATAGGTGCCCGATGAGACTACTTTGAAGGAGATGGCAGAGTTGTAAAATAATTATTAAATATAAGGTTCTTATGGAACCAGTCTCATTACTTAATTGTCACACCTCGTATACCAAATGAGTTCTGAACTGTCACAAGGACTGGTATAAGAGCGCAGAGCTCTTTCTGAGTGTCTCGTAATTTAGTGAAGTGTTGAAAAAATACTTTGATGTGGCTGTAAAGGTTCAATGAGTAGAGAAGACTCCATTAAGTGCTGCCTCGGAATCCAATCAAATGCTGGTCTGGGCTTTCCAAACACCCAAATCAGGCGTGTTGTATCATTGCTGGTAGTCTCTTTCTACTTTTCACTTGCCTATTGTTGGCAGTTCTTTTCACTACACATTTACTGCCTCCCCTAACCCGGAACCCATTTCCCCGACAAATGAATAGGCTTGTATGTTTTCATACATGATTTGTATTTTTATTTATTTATTTTTTTTTTTGTAATTTTATTTATATCATTTATTTACGTTTATAGACCCTTGATATCCTCAGTGTAATCTTTGTTGTTTTCATATTCGCTTTTTTGCTTAAAATGCATCTTTTTAAATAATATATAATCTTTTTAGTTTAATTATTTAAATTTTTTTTTAATTTTATAGTTCTTGGCTTACTTTTAATTTCATTAACTTAAAATTACAATATTAGATACTTATAGAGCTTCTTCTTAGATCAACACAAATTCTCTTGCGCTGATGGTTGGATTTCAGCGGCATTTGTTGTTGATGCTGTTGTTGTTGTGCCCTCAAATAGCGGAACGATTTCAGGTATTTTACATACAACTACAAATACAATAAATCAGTTATCCTGTCGTTCAGCTGCTTAGGCTGCCTGTGTTCATTTGCGTAAGTATGTATGTGTATGTCTGTTGTGTTTTCATTGCAGAATTTTTAGCTCTGAAGATTTCTATTTTTTTTTTAATATTTTCATTGTTTTTGTTTCAGATTTTTTTCACGCGAAACTAATGATTAGAGCGAAATTGGGAGAGAGAGAGAGAGAGAGAGGAATGGATGGGGAAAAGGTAGACATTTTATGTAGCAATGCCCGTGCACACATACATACATACATACGAGTATGTAGGTATAGGTGTCCACGAGTTCTTGTAGCTATCGCAAAATAATAAATATGTTTAATTGTATATTCAAACTTTTGTTGTATTCTACATAGCACATACATACATACAAGTATATTATATCCTCTTCCGCTTGCACTATATGTATACCAGCACACACAGGCTATGTACATACAAACGTACATATACTAGTTTTACATTTTTTCCATCCAAATATCATATTTCTCCTGCTGATCTCATTTATCCGCTTTCTTTGCATTTTCAGTTTATCGCACATATATTTTATTCTCTACGTTTTTCGCTTTTGCTTATAAATTCTTGTTGTTGCTAATTTTCATTTTCATTTATTTTTAATTTTATATTTCTATTTTCTTTTTTTTTTTTTGTGTATTTGTTTTCTCTGCCTTCGCACGTTCTCTACGCTTAGTTTTCATTTCAGTTCCTTTGTCAACAAAAATTATTTTCCGAATTCGCCGTGCACATACCTACATGCGTACAAGATATATATTTTAATTTAGATATTTATATTTTGTATTTACAGATTTTTGAATTGATTCCCTGTTTCTTAAATTTCTCATTTAGTTTTTCAACTGGTTTTTAACTAGTGTTTAGCTTCTTCTTCTTAATGTACAATAGTATTTACCATTTTTGTATTGTTTTTTTTTCACTTTTATGAACATTTACTCCTAATTTAATTATAGTATTTAGCTTTAATAGTTTCTATCATTTCTATTTGGAATATTAGTTAGTGGCATAAGTGCGTTTGCTCCCTTGGGGATATTTACAATTGGAACGAGTTGAAAGCGTCTCTAGGTCCAGTATTTACTCAATTATTTATTTATTCATTTATTTATTTATTTATTTACTTATGATGAATATGGAATACTCTAAGTGTATCAATATAAGCTTGATTATGTTGATTTGCAGCCAATGCGCTCGAGCTCCGCCGCGAATACCGAAACCACTCTCTGCACACGCTCACTGCAGACCATCCCTGAGGTGGTGAGTGGCCCTGTTTGTTGTTTTTATTACTTTAATAGCATACTTTTTGGTGTTTCGTTTTACTTGTTTTTGTTTTTTTTTTTTTTTGCTGTGAACTCCTTGTTTTTTCGGTATCTTCTCTGGTATTTGGCAAACACATTTCACTACTCATCTTTCATCTCTCGCACACATTGGCCGATTTTTTGGGTTCGTTTTTTCTTGTCCGCACTTTCATTGATGGCGCGTTTGTTGTTGTTTTTGTTCTAGGTATGCGTATATTAAACGTGTGTTTTACCTTAAGTTTTTTCGTGTATTTGTTTTCAGTTTTTCTTTAAATTTATAGGTAACTGACTCCTGCTCTTTCAATTATTGGATCGGGTTGCCAATTATTATCGAATTGTAGAAATGAGGGTAAAAACTTGATGAAATAAAGCAACAATTATTACAACATACATATGTACATACGAGTGTATTCATATGCTAACTACTACTACTATAGTGTGCATATGGCTCTAATTGCTAAATTTTATCATTATTGTTAATTTCTTTGGATTTATTTACATACATTTTTTGCATATACATATACCTATGTATGTATATGCATGTTTTTGAAAAAGAAAAAATGCTTTCAATTCTAATTACATTTACAATTAATTCTATGTTGAAATGTGTTTTCGCAAAACAACGCCGGTGCATCGGGTTGACCTCGCCTAGGGAGGCATCAAATGTGGACGCGTTAATACATATGTGTATAATATATATGGAACAGTTGTTGTATCCTTACTAAATGTATGTATGTATTGTAAAATGTTTGCTTGAAAAAAGTTCGTCATTATTTCTGACGCAAAAAATGTTGCCGAAAATTTGCCAACAGGCTTAAACTGTCCACAGACACATACACACCTCCATGCACACACACGCGCTAACACTTGCACACACAGACAAATAACATTTTTCCCATGCATTATCCTCAATTTGGCGCGATTAGCCAGGGAAGGCGCATTGGAAATTCACAATATTCCAATTAAAATTAATTCGATTACATTTACTGATTTTGCGCTGACGAAATGAGCGAGCAAAAAGCGAAAAAAAAAATACAAATGAGATTAATGAATTTCAATTTTTGCATTGCTCTTATATTCTAAGCTAAAATATGCACACGTCCATATGTATATGTGTACATTTGTGTAACTAGATCTTGCGCTCGAAGCACCACGAAGCGTCTGGCGAATTGGAAAATATATGGTTTTGGAAACTTTTGATGGAAAAAATCGCAAATAAGGTAGGCAAACCTACATACATATCAAAATAATATAACGGTACAAGCCCCCCGGTTGTATTTTTGGAAATTTTCGACAATCTTTTTCTTCGAGAGCAAAATTAATTGCAAAAAAGGCCTTCGAAGGATTTTGGCAAATTGCAAGACTAAAATCCAGCACCATTTTTACTGTGTGAATTCTAAAAAATTTTAATTTTTCCCATAATTAAATAATTAGCTGGATAAAGCATAAGCGCGTAGATTACATTAAAAATTTACATTAAATAAATAAAAAAATTAGAAGCTTTTAATGAGAACTTAATGATTGCATACAAACATACATAAGAGTATGTATGTCTCTAAGCTGCAGCCAACGCAAATGTCGGTTACATTAAATACATACATATGTACATATATATGTAAGCATATTTTAGTCACACATACATACATTATGTTAACACATTCCACACACATGTTCACACATATACACACATATATATATATATATCAGATATTTTGCCGCTTTACTACATACCTACATACATACACACATACACTCGTACATGCAGACTGCATTTAATTCTTAAATTTTATTGGTGTGAATTTTATTTACTGTTTACCGTTTTATTTGTTCAGTAGAGAGTTTGGCGTGTTTTTTTTTATTATTTTGTTGTTGTTGTTGGTGTTGTCATTGTTATATGTAATTGTACATACATACATTTACATCGAGATACGCGCAGCGCTAGGATCGATGACAGGACCTCGCCCATGTCATCAGTTGTTTTTGTTGTGGACTTTCAGTGGCCTCTGCTCTGTTGGCTTTAATTTGTGCTTTTGCTACACACTATTTTCTAATTTGTATTTTTGTACGCTTTTTAACTTTGCGCTTAACATCGCGCCCACTTGCCCATTCACAGCACTTTGGCCAGCGCAGCTCTCGGCTAATCGGTGTGTGTGTGTGTGTGTGTGTGCGTTGCGAGAAGTGTATTTGGCAACAATTTCTATTGCGATCTCCACAAAAGCTCATTTCCTCAACTAATTCAGCAAATATTTTGGGGTAATCTACGCTTCTTCTTTTAAATATTTCTAATTTAATTTTAATTGTTTTATAAATTTTTTATTAAATTTTTAGGTATATTTTTTAATTAAAATTTTACTTATTGGACTGATTCAATTTAATTAACATTTCTAAATTCTATAAGCACCAATATTATGCTACCGTTAAGACAGAATGGAAAAGTTAATAGAACACAAGACAAGCGGACAAGACACAAAATGCTGCAATCTATATTATTTCCTATTTTAATTGGACATGATGAAGAAACGTTTTCACGTGGCGAGGAACAGAGTGCTCTTGCCAAATTGTGCTCTCTTTTTCTTTCTCTTCTCAGTTTACTTTTGCACGAACATGGACGGACGTCGAGTTGGCAGCTCCGTAGACGAAAACATAAATATTTATGCTGAAAGTGAGAACCATTCGAATCGCGTGTTTGATTGGCATGGGAAATGCTCATGCACGCACTTGCAACCAAAGAGCGGAAGCGAGTTTAATTCGATTAAAATATTTGGAACATTTTTGTAGCATTTTTTCATAAAACCTGAAATTTTACTAATTGTAAGTGGATAAATATCTTTTTAATTGTTGTAAAAAATTAATTATTTTATTTGTGTAGGATTTCCCTTTAAAGAATTTCATTATCTATTTGAGATAAAAGTTTTTTTAAATAATTTTTGAAATGAAATAATTGAAGGCTTTAGCAAATATGGCATTGAACACCCCACTTTTACTCTCAAATTTTTTTTTTGTATCGAAAATCGCTTCTATACATACGTGCATATACGTACGATCTGAATTCAAAGTACGATCCTCACTGTAGATGCTTATGTCTATGGCTAATGAAATGAAGGCAAATAAAAGTGGATGGAAATTAATTGAGTTTCACTAATTGAAAAGAAAAAGTTGTGTTGTTTTATAATACTGTTTTATTGGATTCTCGTATTTTTGTTGTTTTTGTTGACCCTTCAACATATGCACTTAAAATGTAACTAATAAATTTCAACAAAAAGGCAAGTGGAGTAAATGCTGATAAATCGAAAATGAAAAATGCAACCCTATACTCTAAAAATATTTATGTACAAATGTACGCTTTCAAATTTTCATAATTTCTTATACAATTTTCTCTTTTTTGTTGTTTGTTAAGTAAAAACTTTAAGCATAATAAATTCTTTTCTTTCTTTCTTTGTTTCAATTTAGACATATTTACTCAATCACCAAGTTCCAGGGAATTTCCTCTCAATATTTTGTTGTTTGTAACTTATCCGCAATTAGAACAGCTTAAATATCAAAATTCTGATTTTGTAACTTTTGTTTTTTATTTTACAATTTCTAATTCGAAGCTTCGTATTTTACACAATTATTTAACTTAGATTTGAATAAAAATGATATTTTCAACACTTTTACAGTTGCGCACCTTCGGCGGCGCCCTGTTCTTCCACACCCGCTCTCTCGCACAGCACTCTCTTTTGGTATTTCGGTTGGGCGAACTTTTTTGTTGCTGTTTTTGCCGAAACCGAGCTTTGTAAGTATGTATGCGGGCGTGTGGAAAGCTCACTTCGACGCTTCAGCCGCTCCAAAAAAATTTTTATGGTATTTTATTGTTGTTGTTGTTATTGTTTGCTTATTTATATTTGAATAAGTGTAAAATTTTGATTTCCCATTTTCTTAATTGCATACAAATGCATTTCTACATGCACACATACATATGCGCATGTTTCTATACATGTCTGAATGTATGCATTTATGGTATGACTTAATTGTTAGGACATAAATTATCTTATCGCATAAATATTATATGCATACATGCATATATGTGTATATGTACATACATATATACTTACTTAATTTACTTTACAATATTGAATTATTCACTACTGTACACATACAAAACATTTTATATTATATTATATTTATTTAGTTTCTTTGTATTTGTTATTGTAATTGTAATTATTACTATTCCTATTTTATTAATTTAATTTTTTTTCTCCTGCCCATCTTTGCTTGCTCTTTATGTAAACATAGATATACATACATATACATATACATAGACTTATCGATTTATTAAACTACGCATGGTTTTTGTTTTTGTTTTTGCTTTTGTTGTATATAGTAATGATGTATGTATAACGGGACCTTAAGCATGTTACTCCGTTTCACAGCGTAACTCTCGCGAGAAAGTCTTGCCATCCAGATAATATTATATGTATATCGTTCTCACTACATAGTCTACATACATACATACATACATACATAGATTAATCGATATTTCTGTCATCCACTGCACTTCTTCTGCTCCTGCTCTACATCCAATGGCTATATGTATTAGTTTTCAGTTATTTATTTCATTATTATTTTTATTTTCTAATCTCTTTTATTTCCTATATTTTTTGAAATTAACACAAATTCTTTTCGTCTCTTTCTAGTAACCAAGCGTTATTGGCCTTAGCCGACCCCCCAATCGTATCCCTGTGGTTAACATGCGACGTTGTTGTTGCTGCTGCTATGCAGGCATTCAACAGACGTGCTTCGAGTTCTCGAGGGCAGCTGTCGCTTCTTGAGCGCTTTCAGCGCATCTCGCGTCGTCGCTTTTACAGCTGCAGAAGCTCTTACTGCACTCACCTCATCTCTGCCTCTACTTGATGCTTGTGCATCAAGGCTCCTCCGGCGTCTGCTCGTACTTGTGACACCAGCAGCGTCGCCTGTTGCGCCTTTTTTCTTCACGAACTTGATGTTGTAAGGATCTTCCGCCAGTTCGGGATACAGCGCTACGTCGTGTATGTACTCGCCTTCGTAGTTGTTCGCGTAACTCTGTTTGAGGATCTCGTCGATCTCTTGTTGGCTCCATTCAATGGTTGTGGTTAGGCCACTTCGTAACGCCTCCTTTTCGCGATGCCACGCCTTCCGCACCGCCGTCAATTTGGCATGATGCATGAGCCGCTGTTTCTCTTTCTCCACTGTTGTACCGTAGCGCAGGTTAATGATGGCGTGTGCGCCGTGGATCTTCACATCCAAATAGTTGTTGCCGCTACCGTTTTCCCGTGAATTCTCGTGGAATGTAGTATTGACTTGGCCTTGCAGACGTTTTAGTTGTTGTCGATCTTCGCTGGCGCGCCATGCTTCTTCTTTGACGAAGAAGAATGAATCTTGTTGCGCGTTATGCACGACGAATGTGAATGGCAAGAGCTTAGAGCGGTTAAAGACGGACGTGTATACATCCCGGTAGATGGCGTTAGCCGCTGGCACGCTGGATACGATTGCTTGGCCATCGCTAGTTCGTGACACCACGATGCCCTTACCAAATGGTGGTTCCGTATCTGAGCCAATGTTGCGCGGGCTCGGGTCCATCACATCGAATTTCAGCGCAGATTTTGGCGGCGCGGACAAATCTTCGAAGTTGGACATTCTGCGCACATTCAGGTGTGCCAGGAAGCCGCTCTCGACCGCGATGGTGGGAATATTATCTATTGGACGTTTCATGTTCAAGGCAATAGGATTGTGTGGCGCCCTTCCCCACAGTGAAGGTTGCTCCCAGAGGTTTCGCGTTAGTTGTGGTATCAAGTTCTTAACGCTGAAGCCTAGTATCTTCATCCATGAAGAAAAGTCGGCGGGATAGTTGCGATCGTGGTCAACGTTGATTGGATCATTGCCGTTAAAGCGATAGAGGTGCATCTTAGTAGGTGTGATAATGCGCTCAGATACGTGCTCCCAGTTAGGTGACATCCATTGACCGATTAGGGGATCGTAGACTTTGCCATCGCCCATATGCACCAGTGCGGTCACAGGGTCCAATATACCGCCGCAGAAATCAATGGGCAGAAAGAGGTATGGATTCGAGTCGTAGACAATATGTCCGAATGGCGAACGCATGATCTCTCGAATATCCTCACCGTACTGGTTAAAGATCATAATCGGTGTGCCGCTCTGGTCTGTTGCCACATAGTATTTGTGACGGTATACCTGGGCATAGATGAGATGGCCGACATCGTCGTAAGTTAGGGACATTAGCTTACCGTCACGTGGCGAGTAGATCTGTGATACTTCGTACGGTCGCTGCTGGTTCGTGTAGAAGAACTGTGTCACGTTGCCGAAGTTGTCCTTTCTGGTTGTCAGTCTTTTCATATGGTCGTAGTAGTAGCGCACGTCGAACCGACCGCGCTTTGTGGCGCGAACCAATAGTCCTTGCGTGTTGTAGTGGAAGCGTTCTTCGCGAGCATTCTGTGCCACAAGTCCGCGTGTATCATACTTGTATTGACCCTCTCCGAACTTTACTATCCGGTCCTGCGTGTTGTATTCCATTGGAATCGTGTTGCCGCGGTACGTCAATGAAAGCAGATTTCCGTTGTCGTCATACCGGAAGCCCCATGGCTCCTGAGCCTCAACACCGATCAACTGACCATCACAATCCCAAGTGTAGTTCTTGACATTGGTGTATGTATTGACGGCCATGTTGCGAGTGTATGTGCGAGTCTGGGTGATCCTTCCATGCATGCCAAATGAGAACTCCATGCGAAATACCTCGAGGCGATGTATTGACAAAGTCACTTTCTGCGTCAAAAACCGACCATCCACGGTACGGGTGAATGTCGCTGTGCCATCGTAGATCTGCGTTTGATTCAACATAGGATGCATTAGTTTAAACTGCCCAATTAAACTTGGTTGACCTGTGCGCTGATTATAAGCAAAGTTCTGAGAGGGCAAATTCTGGCCACCAATGCGCCCTTGGATCGAGATGACACGGAAGTCAGTGTCATACTCATAGGTGAACTTGGCGTTGCTCAAGCCCGTCTTTGCCACATAATCTATGCGCTCCTCGCTTAGCAAGCCACCAGTGTATTCAAAGTCCCAACGATATTCCAATTCACGTTCAGTGTGGGAGACGGTGCTGGGCATGCCAGTGGCATCGTTGTAGATAAACTCACTCTTTCCATCGCCGTGAACGATCTCGGCTAGCTGGCCACCTGAGTTGTAGCGATAAACGATGCGTGCGCCATCTCCAGGGAATATGGTTTGCAGCAACGCACCCGAATGGCTGTAATGCTGTAGATAAGCACGAGTGCTGCCTGGCGGTATGTACGTGCAACGGATAAAGCCGATGGAGGTCTGCATGCTGAAGGAGTGCTTGGTGCCAGATGGCATCAGTACATGCCTCAAACCACCAGATTCGTCGTATTGCAGCACAAACTTTCGCTGACTCGCCAAACCGATTTCCGATACCAAATTCCAATCATTATAGACAAAAGATATGATGCCGTCTTGCTGAGAGGTGATTTCTGACAACAAGCCATGTCGATCATAGGAGTACTTCAGTTCGGCCGGTCCCCAAGCCCAGCCCTCAACGCGATTGAAGCGGTCGTAGGTGATATTCACCGGATAACCGTTGGTCGGGTAGTACGATTTCGGCAAACCAGATTGGTCGTACGCTACAATGAGTATGGGTGTGCGGTTCATGTCGTAGAATGTCTCACGATTGGTGAACTGATCGTACTCGACGCCAATAACACGCGACTGATTAACCCAAATCTCACGATTAAGTGTCTGCTGGGGATTACGTACATCGCCGACCAAATTATACACTGAGTACATATTGTTTGTGAGGCTCTCGCCCATTGTAACGCTCTGATGCGACCACATCGCCAACATCTCAGCCTCTACCGGCAAAGCAGCCTCAAGCAGAGGATGACGTGCAACAGCGGAGGACTCCACCACAACGCCATTAGCGCTGTGTATGACCAATGTGTTATTAGGTTTTATTTCCGCATCCGCATTCTCGCCACCCTTCTTCATGAACGTGGAGCGCACACCGCCCAAAACAAGTAGCTCATTGGTTTCACCTCGTTCGCGTGAGAAGAGCGACTCGACCGAGGCATGCACATAAACGGTGAGACCTTTGTTGTCAGCGAGTTGTGAAGTGATGCGCACTATCTCACCACTCGGCAGGATGGTGCCTGTAACACGTCCGAACTCGTCATACTGGTAGATGTAGGTCTCTCCGCCCGAAGAGCGCGACATAAGCAGCCCAGTGTTGCTGTCATAATCCAACTCAATCTCCTGACGTCCCTTTTCACTCAGCTTGGTCATGATGCCGATGCCGTTTATTTGTATCTCCGACTTGTGATCTTGTGTATTCTCAATGGAGCTCACAACATTGCTGTAATCGCGTAAGAACTGAATTTTGTTACCCGATGCATCGGTGACAGTCGAAAGCCGGCCGAAGGAAGTGTTCTTTGAGTAAAGGAAGCTGTAACGGGTCTTTCCTGAGGTGAGGTCTTTGGTGGCGACATGTTGGCCATACCGATTGAAGACGTAGATTTCGCTGGACGGTGGGTAGGGAATGTGGAATTCACCGTTCTCATCGTGCGAGGGTAAATAATGCTCGAGAGCAAGAACATGAAGAGAACCTAAAAGAAAAAGGGAATAATTTGTTATTAGAGATATTCATCATATTAGTACATGGGATTAGATTCTCGAATAAAATGTCAGTTTTATAGGCTAAGGGTGTTCGTCATTCTCAAATACTCTGTGTATAAGTACCCCCTTTCTTAAACTCACCACACCTTAAAATATTATAACCATTTTACCACATCAATTTCATCACACTTTTAAGCAGTCAGCAGCAACAGCGTTTGTTTAAAGAAAAAGTGGATAATTCCACAATAAGCTTCGCTACTTACCACACATTGTTGATGTGAGCTTGAATTTATATTTTCCTCTTCTGCCGTCAGTATCTCATACACATCTACATACATACTTGTTAAGGAAACTCCCCTCATTTTACTCACATCTGCAACGTTTTTGTGAATACCTTGGCCGTACAGTATGTGGAGGTGTTTGTGTGTGTGTGTGCGAGCTCGTGTGCATATTTACGTATTAGCCAAATATTGAAGCAATTTATGAAATTGTGTTTTTGCGTCCAGTTTATATTTGCCATTCAGCTGCCACTTCCACCGCTCCACCAGTTTTAGCCTGTAAACAAGCAGGTTTCGGCTGCTCCTGTTGCAATATCATACTGAGCCACTTTGCAACGTTGTACCGGGAACACAGCTGACACACATGCTCGCATACATATATATATATATGTATATATGTATATATATATATAGAGGATTGAGGTAAGCAAGTGCGGCGATATGTGCGCAACTGAGCTGCTACTGTTGATGTCAATTTTCATATGGAGCAACATGTTAACCATCGAGATGGAAAAGCTCCTGCCGAGTGTGTGTGACCACTTTATGCACACACACATACAAATGCGTATAGCCATGTAAGCACATTTCTATGCATTCTGCAACTGGGAAGCGAAAAAAATAAAAACATTGGGCAACCGCAAGCTGCAGCATTACAGGACTTTTTGTAGCCAGCAGCCAAGAAGGTGTCGTGTTCCCAAATATACGAGTATGTATGTACGTGTGTACATGCTAAAGCTGAGTGGAATGCGGTTGACTGCAAACAGAAAAGTTTCATTCGCCACCAAAAACACACGGTTGCAGGGAATCGAGTTGATTTTTTTGCATGTTGGATTCCGTGGTGATGAAATTGGCCACAATGCGAAAACGTGAGCGCCACTGTGTAGGCGGCATCCGAATATTTGAGCATTTGCACAAGAATTGCTATTCGATGGCAATGCAGTGCTGTGTGTACTTGGGTGGAGGTACAGAGAGGGATTGGCTCACGCATGAACATACCACACTGCTCTCCCCTCTACGTACAATTCCAATTCATTCAGTTGGCTCTGAATGGGCGCTGACGACTGTTGCTGAGCAAAGCACGACATTCTTTGCCCGCACGAACACACACACTCACATGCGTACCCTCTTGCAAAGGCGCCCCCAAGTATGCAACGTGCGTTCGCTCGTGCAAGCATTGCAATAAATTTTATGAGTGAATTATTAGATTTTTAAACGAAAGTTTGCTATGCCAAGCTATGCTGTACCCTGTGCTCTGCTATGCAGCGCCAAGTCGAGTATTTCATTATGTATTTCTCGAGCAAACTTTGTTCAAGTAGCAGCAAGTTCAAGAATTCTTTGCGATTTTTTTGAAGAAAAAAATGAAAACACATGAAATTTACTTATGCCGTTTTCGTTTGCGATCATAGCTTCTACTTTTACTTAATGATGATCTGCACATTTAGTTTACAGCCAACAAGGTATGTATGTTCATCCAAATGAATATATGTATGTGTGTGAGAATATTTAAAATTTATGGAAGTTTTACGGTACTTATTTTTACAAACTGTGCAGACAACAGTTATCTTTCACATACACAAATGCATCTTCTGTGCCCACCAAAAAGCGAGATCAGCTCTTTCCAACGCTTTCGAATATGGAATCCAAACCATAATAGATGACACGAAGGAGAGCAGTGAACAAAAATAAGTACGAAAATGAAAAGATTCCATTAAAATTTTTTGTTTATCACAGGAGAGTCGATTCACCCTTTCCTAAGTTCGATTAAAAAACAAACAAATAAAAGAGCTCACGAGAGTTTCTTGGACATTTTAATAGTATTCTCATCAAGGAGGATGCCTTTGCTGTCTCTTCGCCGCCATGTCTGAATTCGGTATCCACGCGAACATTATACGGTTGTGAAAACTGACGTCGGACAATACCAGAGCGGGCACTTTTCAATTTTGTGAGGTAAAAAGCATTAACAGAGGGAAAACAGGCTTGGCGGCAGCAGCCGAGTGTGTGGGTCTGATTCCTGGTCAATCAATATCAAAAAACTTGATAAAACAGAAATAAATATCAGGTGTACAACTTTGCTTCCGCCGTTTCCCGATAGGTGACTGTACCGGCTGAGGCTGGTTGAAATACATAGATGATTATGCCTTTAAAGTGCCTAACGAATTGTCATCGCCGTTTCAGTGACAGTTATTTCTTGTTTTCGTAGTATTGTCACCTCCACTTTTTGTAATTACAATATGTATGTGCGTGTGTACATACGTACATACATATGTATACCTACAGTGGCTGTTGGTCAAACGCCTACCAACAACCACACACGTCAAAACAAACTACCGCACAAAAAGGAGATGACAAAAACTAACAAAGCGACCGGCCAGCTTAGTGAAGACGGCGTGGGTCGCTAGCTACGCACAACAACAAACTACGTGCAAAGAAAAACAAA